TAAGTTTTCGAAGCAGTGACCAGGTTTGTGTACTGAAGTTTTTGAAATCTAGATTTTCAACAGTCTTAGTCTATTTCTGGCTCCTAGCGGTATCAGTGGTGTAATTCGCCTGCAATTTCTTACCTTTCGTCTTCACAGAATTTTTTATAGTTTTTTTGATCTCATCAGACTAGCCAGGAATATATTCTTTGCGGTACCTTCTAGGTATTGTTGCTTTTGCTGATCTCGTTATTGCTCCGAGAGATTTCCACTCTCGTATTTTATGCTTTTTTGTGGGATCCAACATAAGCCTGTATCAAGCTTACTAGAGAAAGCAGAATAAATAAATAAATTTAATAATACATAAATAAAAGTAATAATTATATTAGTATCTAGTTAATGGCTGATAATCAATTTTGAGAAGAGTTTCAGAAGCCCAAACTGATCGATAATGACTAGTTAAGAACCGTTTCAAAATTTGGACGTTTAGAAAATGATCCAATTCGGCACAAACGCTGTAGTTGCCGTCCGTTTACAGTGAAAACTAATGCAAATTAACCCTTTCAGATCGGATATATACTGTAAATTTAAATTTGTACGTAAACTTGAATATCTACGTACAAAAAACTTGTTTTTGTCAGACTTTTTAAATCCAACGTACACTATACGATCTCGAAAATGCTGACGGTAACATTTCTTTGCAGGTCTCTCAAATTTTTATTTTATTGTACTTGACAGATGGTTTAAAATGTGTCCAAACAATTATCGAGTATTTCAACAAGGTTTCAAAGCGTGTACTTTGATAAACGTTGGAGGCGTCAAGCTTTTATGTAGGTTTAATAGGACTGCCAAACACCGGTAGATGATAGTCACAGCATGCTCCACATAGCACCGTCACGTCCACATTAACAAGTGCGAGAGAGATTTTAGCGCCATAAATTAAAAACGTGTGATCTGAATGTACTATTAAGAACTCATTTAAAAGCGATGAAAAATGTAGCGATAAAGCGATGTAGCCGTAAAATAACAAATAAAAACTTATTATATGCCAAAAATGCATTATCTCTGTCCAAAAATATTGTATGTATTTATAAACTCAGTGTATTTCATTAATAATTGCAAATATTTAAACTGTAGATTTCTGGGCTTAAAATACTAAGATAAAACTCAAATCACTTAAATAAAATGTGGCTCCTTAATTAGTTAAGGGTGTTTTATTTAAAAAATTAAAAACTGTTTGTACCCAGTACTTTTGGCAGAGAGTGTAGGTACTGTATATTCTACTAAATTATGTTAAACAAACATTTCTAGCTACTAGCAGAGGCATCTGTCAGAGAAAAGTGAATGGTTGACCCTTCCCAAACTATATAGACTCTATAGATCAACAATTTATTGGAGAGGGTAATTAATTTATTCAGGAGGAGATTAATGAAAATTAGGGACGCGAAGAAATACTAACAAATCACCCAAACAATTAAAAAAGAAATACGAAAAGCCAAGGAGACATTGATGTAAGAAACATGTAAACTAATCGAAGTGAAACACGATCATATAAATATCCACCAAAAGATTCGAGAAGCCACTGGTCAATACAAGAGGAGAAACACATCTCCGAGTGAACGGTGAATATATCAATAATATCGGCTACACCGATGACACTGTGTTACTAGCAACCAGCCTAAATGATCTCCAAGCATTATTAGACCGAATGAGAATTGTGAGCGTAACATACGGACTAGAACTGAAAATATTAATTTTATTATGATAAGTCGATGGTGAAATATTATGGTCGCCATAATTGTAAACAATTCATTACGGGAAAATCGATAAGATTCGGTTATAAATTATGCTGCCGTAACTCCGAAACTAGTTACCTTGTAAATTTTGAGATTTATCAAAAGAAAAGTAAAAATTCGAACGGTTTATACTAACTTGAATTTGCCAAGGTAGCCCCTTGTCTCGATGTTGGACACTTTGCCACATCAAATGCTACTTTACCAAATCTATCTTCTTCTTCTTTAAGTTCCATCTTCTATCGAAGGTTGGAAATCATCATGGCTATGCGGACTCTGTTGACTGCCGCTCCAAAAAGTTCTGCACTACTGCATTCAAACCATTCCCTTAAGTTCTTAAGCCAGGATATTCTTCGTCTTCCCACATTTCGCTTTCCTCGGATTTTGCCCTGCATAATAAGTTGTAATAATGCGTATTTTTGCCCTCTCATCACATGTCCCAAGTATTCAAGTTTTCGTCTTTTAATAGTTAATATTATTTCCGCCTCATTTCTTATCCTTCTAGTTACTTCCATGTTTGACATTCTTTGAATCCATGATATTCGTAGGATTCTTCTGTAACACCAAAATTCAAAGGCGGCCAGCTTATTCAGATGAACTTGTTTTAGTGTCCAAGCTTCCAGACCATAAAGAAGAGTAGAGAACACGTAACATCGAAGCATTCTCAGGCGTAGTTCTAACCTTATATCCCGACAACAAAGAAACTTTTTAAGTTTAATAAATGATGTACGTGCTATTTCAATACGTGTCTTAATTTCTTTGGTTTGGTCTACATCTGATGTTATCCATGTTCCTAAATATTTATAGTTATTAACATTCTCAATTGCAGTATCTTCAATAGTCAATTGGATATTTGCATGTGCAGATTTAGTCATGATCATGCATTTAGTTTTCTTTAAATTTATCTTCAGTCCGTACTCATGACAGCGTTCATTAAGGCGTTGCATTAGGTTCTGTAAATCATTGTTGTTATCCGTAATTATTACTGTATCGTCTGCAAAACGTAAGTTATTCAAAACTTCTCCATTGATAGATATACCTTCTATTGAGTCTGAGAGCGCTTCTTGAAATACCGCTTCACTGTAGACATTGAAAAGTAGTGGGGACAGCACGCAACCCTGGCGGACTCCTCTCTGTATTTTGATATTTTCGGTGTACTGATATAATTTTCAGATCACGACTGTCAATATTTTTGCTTTTTAATATATCTACAAGCTTTTTATGTTGAACTTTATCAAATGCCCTTTCAAAGTCTACAAAACATAAGTACATATCCTGATTCATGTCCATGCATCTCTGAGCCAGCACATTTAAGCCGAACAAAGCATCTCTTGTACTCATACCATTTCTAAAGGCAAATTGTGTGCCACTAATCTCATATTCAAGAGTTTTAACAATTCTGCTGTGAATTATTTTCAAAAATGTTTTAAGTGTGTGACTCATTAAAGCTATGGTTCTGTGGTCTGAGCAAGTTGTTGAACTTGGTTTTTTGGGAATTGCTACAAAGGTTGATTGCAGCCATTGTCTGGGGATTGTGGCAGTCTGATATATTAGATTAAAGAGTTCAACCATTACATCAATAACATCTTCATCGATGAGTTTTAATAATTCGATGAGCACCTCATCTGGTCCAGTAGCTTTACCCTTTTTTTGTTTTTGATGGCATAAATGACTTCTTCTCTTAATATTGGTGGTCCAGTATCCTCGGTGATTTCTAATGACAGTTCTTCTCTTTCATCATTAAATAGTTGTTGAATGTAATTGGTCCAGTGACATAATCTCTCCTTCATATCAGTAATAATATCCCCTTTATCATTTTTAAGGATATTCGTTTTTTTACGCTTTCTAGAACCTGTCATTTCTTTGATTTTTTTTTGTGTAAATTAAAGCTATCGTACTTTTTATCCAGATCTTCTATTTCCTTGCATCTATCGGAGAGCCACCTCTTTTTTGCCTCTCGAATTTTCTTTCTGATGTTTCTCTGAATTTCTTTGTATTTTTTCAGGTCTTTTGCCTTATGTTTTCTTCTATTTCCTTGCATCTATCGGAGAGCCACCTCTCTTTTGCCTCTCGAATTTTCTTTCTGATGTTTCTCTGAATTTCTTTGTATTTATTCAGGTCTTTTGCTTTATGTTTTCTTCGTTCTTCCATGAGTTCAAGAATTTCTACTGTCATCCAAGGTTTTGTTTTTTCTTTAAGTGGTTTGAGGGTTTCTTTTCCAACTGACACAAGGGCATGTTGAATTTTTCCCCATTTTTGGTCAATAGTTAGAGTTTCTGCATTATCTTCTTTGACTTTCCTTAAGCTCTCGTTTATTTTAAATTTGGTTTCCACATATGTGTTGTCTTGTTTGAGACGTGTTGTATCTATGATTTTCTTGGTGCTAGGGCTCTTGACCTTCTTTAGTTTCACTCTCATCGACAAGATACCATATGACTATTCGTAGTAAGAAATGGTATTGGTCTATACTTACATGGTTAATTGATGCTGCAGTACAAAATTCGTGGATATTTTATAAGTGTTTAGGAAAACCGACAACTAATTGGAATTTTTGACGTGAATTCGCGACTACTTACCTTACCAAATTCAGAAACCTTCCCATTAGACTTGGTAGACCAACAATAAGTAGAAATAGTCTATCTTTTAACAGAATCTCTAACATTAAGTGCAATGGTATTAACCATCTCATTATATTGTTCTTAATAAAAAACGAAGGCGGTGCGCAGGAGAAGGGTGCTACTCAGTAGTACGTACACAGTGTGAGGAAATGCGACATTGGACTCTACATTGGATGCTTTGCCATATTTCAGAAAGAGTAAATCTTATAATATTTTAATGTATTTTGTAGTAGTATTTTGACCTAGTGTTACGATATTATGGTCACAGTTTGTAATGTCATATATTCGATACACAAATAAAATCTAATAGGTTTTCTGTATTATCTGCTTATTTGTATTTTTTCTAAAGTAAACTTGGTAAAAAAACCACCAGTTTAACAAAAAAATTTGGTAAATTGATAGGTGAAACAATAAATTCACAATTTAAAAATTATTCATCTACTGAAAGAGCCAGTGTAAAATTTGTCAACAAATGCGTCTTTTTGATGCCGCCTCCTCCGCGGCATATCTGCCGCCAGCTCCATTTAGCCAATCATAAAAACAAATACCGTTAATTTGTTGCGCCAGCAGCTTGTTTACTAAATGGTGCACATCGACAATTACAAATAGCTTTGTAGAATTAAGTCACTAATAAAATCGTTTAAGCAACTCCAACTGTGATTATGAAATGTTGAGAATATGTGGGTTCAAAGTTTTCTGTTCAGACAAAATATAATTGATGTTATTTTAGTGTTTTTTACTTTTATATCTTTTATTGAAAATAGTGAGTTACGGGTAGATTTGAGTAATGCTGAGGACGTGAAAAGTGTTTTTCCTAAAATTGATGTAAAATCGGTGAGAAGAAAAAGGTCGGCAAATGTACATGAATATGTTGATATTAAGGTAAGTAATTTTGTTAATAACTCCTTTTTATAATGTCATAAAACTACATTTTACAAAAATTAAACATTTGAGGACTAAGCGAAAAATATTAGCTGAAAATAGAACAAAATTAATAATTTCCACAAAGATTAATAATATGACTAAAAAAATAAAATAAAAACTAGGATATGGAAAACTAATTCAAAATAATAAAAATAATTTGCACAAAAAGGGTAAATAAGTAAATTTGTTTTTTAATTAAGTTAAAGATTATTAAAAGTGATATATACATTATATAGTTGGATAATAAGGACAATTCGAAGTCCAATTGGTCTATAGAAGTAGAAGAAAAAGGTAAATAATAGCATATATCTGAATATTTAGAAATACTATTAAAAGAAAAGATAAATGACGAAAAAATATTGTCTTCTTCTTCTCGTAGAGTAAAATGGCAAAATCTGGCGTCATACATGTATTCAGTATGTAGAAGGACTTGATACGACGAACAAATACATTGATACGACGAATCCAATTGCTAGTAATACTATAGTCAAAAATTCGTTCCGGTAATTCAACTTCTTTTTAGATTTCATCTCGGTTATCATAACCTAACGATATCTAATGTCCCCAAAAATAAAAATCCATTACACCGCATTCGAGACTTCCTTTTGGCCACAGAATGGGTCCATTCCTACCAATCTAACGACGAGGATAAGTGGTATCAAGAAAATTTTTAACAGCTCAGGTAAAATGTGCTAAGATTCCTTCGTAAAGGCACGTCTTCAAGAAATACCGGCCAAACATTTTCTAAGAAATTATAGTATGCTTCTCCATTTAGTGTTCTGTGTAATTCATAGGTACTATCAAATGATAGTTAATTATTCCAGCCCTTAAATTTATGCTAAATTTTCGTTGAAAATGTGTCTTTGTTAAACATGTTTTATCCGCACATAGCACTTTAGATGGATTCAGGTTCTGTAGCGAGTTTATCTTGAAACTTGTAACCTCGGAAATCTTTTTTGGGTGGTGCTAGAAAGATAACCAATGGAGACACTGCGGACGGCAGCCAGCTGGTTGGTGGAGAGCGAGTCGTGGGTTCGAAACTAGCTTTTGGAACCGGGAATGGATCCAACGGAAGAAATAGGTAAAGATAGGATAAGAGATATTATAAAAGATACAGAAATAAACAAAAAGATAGATGGGTAAAATTACCAAAGATAAGAGAAGATAGAAACAGGGCGGAACTCAATTTTTTGGGGTTAAGGAGAAAATTAAGAAAACCTTAGAAAAGAAAAGAGATAAAAAAAGATATTTAGGTTCAGAGATCAAACCCAAGGAAAGATACCAACAGTAAATTATCAAATAAATCTGGTCAACGCAATATATAAACAAATAATAAATATAATAAGTATTACACTTACTTACCTACGAAACTTAATCAGCCTGATCTTTCTACAGTTCAAAATCATAGTAATATTTAAAGATAGTAATTGTTCAGAGCTATTATTTTATCAGGGAACTTGTTAGAAGCCGACAAATAAAATACATGCATAAAACAATAACAATATATTAAACACAAAATTATGATGCTACTAAATGCAACCCAGGTAATAAAAATACACAACTATGAAATGATGTTATATATGTATAAAATTAATCTATAATGTAATAAAAAAATACCTTTACCAAGATGTATAAGGCAATCATATACAAATATAGTTTGGCGTATCTCGAGATATCATAGAAAAGATAATGAACAAAAATTATAGAAAATACTAAAGATAGCAAAAATTACTTAACTCTAAATTTACAAAAAAAAACAAAAAGGTTACAGGAATGAAAACATAAACCAAACCGCACTTGGTTAAGTCAATTAACTATCTCGCACTATTATTTAATAAAGAACTGAGACTTGTATGTTCATTCTAATATTTATAGAAATTTCTTGAATGGTTCAACTACATTCAAAAATCGGCAACCTACTGGTGAAGATATAGATGATACGTCCAGATAATGGCAGGTGATATGGTACCATACCATATTACTCGCCCAGATAATTGTAGATAAAGATTACCTACAGTAGATCTTGACGAAGGCAGCTTAATTCACTGAATTTAATACGTTTCTGGTACTAAACACTGAATTTAATAACCATTAAAGGTAGTGTAGAACTATATATAATTTAATATAGGCTAAGGAAAGAAAACTCAAATATGAAGTGTACACACACTTAGAAAATAATTCACAGCGACGATAAGATAAGAAATATCGTGAGCAAAGCGCATCACGAGATATCACTTAACTCAACAAGAGCCCACCGAGAAGTAAGTTGGTTCCCTAAAAATTTCACCAACTATCCTAGAAAAAGGAAAAGAAGAAGGTATATCCCCCACTTAAAATCATCGGACAGTCGTATGTATTTCTCAGAAGGTAAGGCCTTAACGACTATTGGAAAGTTTGAGGTAAAATAATCGGTATTAACAATTGGACCTGAGAATATTAAAATCCTTAGGATTATATTATTGTCAAAAGATACGGGCCTTCGGCGAAAATTACCAATTTATGAAAAAGAAACTGCATACCGGAAAGCATTTGTTCTTTTCATACAGAGTATTAAGACGGAAGGATTAAGAACCTTTCTTAATTAGGGAATTCCATTTCAGCTTGGTGTCTACAATATTATTTTCCTATCGTAAACACGGGGATTCCTAATCATCGGCGTATCGCACGGGGGTAAAAGGAATTAAAAATAATTTGATATATTAATAATAAAAAAAAAATGTTACAAACTGCATACAAAATGTTAATCCTAGAGGAAGATCACCTTAGGGTAAGTCTTGTACTATTTCATAGTGGTATTGATGTAGAAGTTGTTCCTTAATTGTTCTATGAACAACGTTTTTTGATATTCTAATCTACATAAATTCCCGACATAAATTTGGAGAGCTAAATTACTGTTACACTGATCTTCCCCATAAATAATCAACATTATCATGGTACTCATGAATCGAAAACATTTTCGCGGTGACATGAAATTTGTGACTGTCTATGTTTGGATTTTCGTACTGTACGTAGTTGACAGATTTCTTCTTGCATACCAAAATGTATTTTTTTAGGTCAAACTGTTAAATTTAGAAAACAAATGTTATAGGACTTTTTTACTATAAATGATGCTTTCTAAATACCCCTTTAAGCAAGCATTAATTTCTGGGACACCCTGTATACCGCCATACATCACAAGTTTTTAATTCTTTGTAAGTTTTTTTACCTAAATTTTTACGAGAAATATTACATACTATAAAGGGTATTTCAAATAGCTAGGTCATAAATTAAATCGCGCATTCCGGGGACAAAAACAAATTGATTGAATCGTAACTTACGTTAGTACAAAAGTGTACAAAAAAAAAATTACAGCCCTTTGAAGTTACAAAATAAAAATTGTTTTTTTGCATTATCTTCTAAACTACTTGACATTTTGTAATAAAAATGCACACGTTACTTTCTTGTTCTGAAAGTCACTGAAGAAGTCCCTGGAACAAGTGTAAGGGTAATATAATAACCCGGTAATACCCGGTTCGCTAATCCCAGTCCGAACTGTCTAGTGATTTTAGTAATTATGATTTTACGAAGTTAGTTACTTTTTTACAGACTAGAAGTGGCTGGAAATTACTATACGACCAAGCACACGTGCTCATAGCGCATTTCATTAAAGTATTTCGTCGACCTCTTTTGCAAACTTATATGACTTAGAAATTTATAGCACGTATAAAGATAGTAAGTTTCTATTATATGTAAAAAATATATTTTATAAAAAAGTTACCGTAATTTAGTTTATATCGTTAGGTTACGCCAAATATAGGCAACCAACTTTAACTTTTTGTTAGCATTTATGCTGAAGTTTCTTGAGAATATATTTAATTTTATTATTATTTTTTAAAGTGATGATAATAATGTTGAATAAGCCATATTTTAAACGATATATAATCACAAGACGTACTTAATATTGTGTTATATAATATAATCCTCATAAAGTACGTTAGATAAAAAATATACCTAATATTCATATTATAATTAAAAAATATTATGCATCAAAAAGATAATACAATATCATCAAAAATATAATTCAAAAATATTATAATATTCTATTATTACTATCATAAACTAGTTTTTTTTCTAATTTCTATTAGAAACGTACTTTATGAAGATTATATAAAATAATATTAAGTACTTTTGTGATTAAATATCATTTAAAATATTGCTTATTCAGCATTATTATCATGACTTTTAAAAATTATAAATTAACTGGAAAATATTAAACGTTTATTAAAAATATTCTCAAGAAACTCCAGCTAAATGCCAAAAAAGTTTAAGTTGGTTGCCTACATTTGGAGCAACTTAACGGTATAAACTAAATTACTGTAACTTTTTTATAAAATATATTTTTTATATATAATATACATTTTATATATAATAGAAACCTTTTACCTGCTATATATACATGGATGTTAACTGAAATGTTTTTGTTATTAAGAATATATTTACAGAACTTCATAAATATATTTTAGTGATCAACCTACGCCGAATGAGCAAATAATTAAAAAAATGATTGGTGTTTTGAATAAATCTTTGTGCAGGTTGATTACCTTGTAATTTAACAGCATCCTTAATCATCTAAAAATATTAACTTTTAAAGAACATTTATCATATTTATTTAAGAAAAATTTACCAACGCATTATCTGATAGAACAAATGGAAAACTTTGACTATCCCTAATAATAAAATTCAAAATAGAACTATAACTAAATAAACGAAATAGAACTAACAACAATATTTACTACAATATAATATTAAATTGTAGTAACTCAAATAGTATATTTTAAATATACAGGGAAAATTTGATGGGTTTAGTATACACTTCCATTATTTAGAATAATTCTTCTTTTTTTCAAAGAAAGAAGTCTGCAATAGTAGTACCTATACTTGAGCTATTAATACTGAGAAGTAGGAATTGTTGTGTTGTAGGTTTCCGACAATGAGTCTGTCAAAATATGCCCTAGCTAAGCGAATGGAGAATAGCTGCTCAACTAAATGTTCCTCACGTAAGGGTTTGGAGGCGTTTGAAGGATCAGCTGCTTGAACAGAACAAACAAAGGTTCTTTAACAAAGGTTCAAGAGTTACTGGTTGAAGATTATCCTAATAGGATTTGATTTTGCGATTGGTTGTTAATGAAAAACACTTTTTTCATTAACACCCACATTTGGGCCGACTCATTACCAAAGACTTTTTAAAGTTAATGTTTAGGCAGGTATTGTGGATAACAATGTAATAGGCCCAGTATTTCTTCCAACAATTTAAGTGCTGACAATTATTTGCAGTTCTTGGCAAACGATTTACAAGAGTATTTGGAAGAAGAGAATATTGCAATAAGGCAAAATATGTGGTTTCTACAAGATGGCGCTCCACTGCATTACAGTAATGAAGTCCGGGAATACCTTTGCAGGCACTCTCCTAGTCGGTGGATTGGAAGGGGTCGTGACGCACCTATTTCTTGGCCACCCAGAAGTCCAGGTCTTAACCCCATGGACTTTTGCTTCTGGGGATTTATAAAAAAGAAAGTGTCTTCTGTAACAATAGAGGATGAACAACAATTTATTGAGGGTTAGAATAATTAAAGCTGCAAATCAATTTCGTCAGAAAAATATAATTTTTCAGCGCTTTCGGTTTATATTATTAAAACGATACCGAATGTGTATTGAAGAAAACGGGGGTTATTTTAAACATTTATTGTAATATCATATTTATAGAGGTTATAAATTTTTTTTGTAATTGTTAATTCATTTAAGCCATTTATTTAGTTGCACGAAATTTTTTAAAAGTTAATGAAAAGGGTCACAACTCAATAAAAACTGTTTTTTAAAAAAAGTGATAGGAGGCAAAAAAAAATTTAAAAATAATGTGTTAAACTAATGATGCCACAAAATTCATTTGATTTGAACGTACTCAAAAGTTTGGGGGGATTTAGAGCTGCACACTCCCCTTAAACTTTTTATAAAAAATGCTTTCAGAACAAACAAGTAATGTGTCCATTTTTATTATAAAATGTCAAGTACATAGTTTAAGATAATTCAAAAAACCAATTTTTCTTTTGTAACTTCAAAGGGCTGTAACTTATGACATACCTTTTTGAAACACCCTCTAATTAATATTTTATCATCAAAATAATTGTGTATTTAGATTAATTGTGAATAAACGAATTTATTTAAAAAAATTTTAGTTCTTTAAATAATAAAAAATAAATCCATTTTCATCCAAGTCTGGCAAACAATATTAAATATTCCAGTGTTATCTCTCGCTAAGTCGTCGACCAAAACTCATTTATTTCACTTAAACAAGTTGTCCGTTCTACCGTAACTTAAATTGTAATGATAAAGGTGGTGAAACTCGGAGATTGGCTGGCGGAGCTCGATCCGCAGGATAATTTAGTCGTCGCCCCAGGACTCCGAACCGAGTGGTTTCATTCTAACGAAACGCACGTCCTACAGGAGCCCAAGAAATGTGATTACCATATGGGCATTATAAAAGGACTTAAAGCGCCGTCCAAAGTAGCCGTGAGCCTTTGTGGGGAGCTCGTCAGAGGGTATTTTGATGTTGGATTCGCTGTTTACTTTGTGGAGCCTTTAGATGAAACGACGGGGGAACACGTTATCTACAAAAGGTAAGTTCTGATTGTTGTTTAATCCTTATCAGATACTAATAATCAAACACAACATTACTAATGCTCTCACTATGTAAATGTTACGTTGGAATAATAATAAAAAATTTCGCGCTTCAAAAGTATTAGTTATTAAAACAATGTGTTAAATTTACATTTAATACTAAAAATCAAATTAATTCTTGTAGATAGTAAGTCTGTATCAGTTTGGCATTTTCTTCTTCTTCTCTACGTATACCCTGAGGAGCATTCGCCTTTATGAAGACTTCATCAGCTTAGCATATTTCGCAGTGTTTAGTACGCTAAAAAATTCCATTTAGCATCTTTGGTACTACCTGGGCCTCCAATGTTTGGCATCAGCCGTATCAACGCCTTTAGACCTCGGTTCGCCTTTTCTACCGTCTTTTGGATGGGTATTCCGAACCTTAGTCCTTCTGACTACCAGACATCCAAATACTTAATCGATTTAAGCTGTGCAACTTCTACACCTTCCACTATAAAGAGGAGAGAGGATTTTTCCCAGCTCCATTTGAAAACTAACACCTCAGTTTTCTGAGGCGCTTGCCGTAGATCGTTCTCTCTGATCCACCTACTCCGCTGACTCCGTCTATGCCTGGTGCAACTATGATGGATCATCATCCGTTTAACAGCCTCGCCAAGTTCCAATTCAGTAAAAGGTTCCACATTACAGGTTTATTAGTTTTATATTTAGTATTTGCCTATCTATGTCTCTTTGTTTCTTCCTATTGCATAAACATTTACCATTGTTAAAATCCCTACTTGTGATCCATGAATGAGATCCGGTAGCACGTTTGACCAAATACTTTTATTTTGAAGTATTTTGGATATTTATATATATTATAATAATTTTTGCGTTAAGAAAATAGCTTTTCAAATTTAAAACGAGTTCTTGTGCTTGTAAGGTAACAGTTTTCCAGGCATAATCTAAAAATATTCAATAAAATCTTTTCTTTTTGTTATTTCTTTTGTTATTTCTTTTGCGTAAACTTAAATAAAACCATTCTTTAACTGTGTGAATGAGGTTAACTTTGTATGTAAATTTTTGGCAAAATAAAATACACTTTTTAATTAATGGCAATTCTTTGTGAAAACAACTGTTTGTGTAATATTATAAAAAACTTCTAAATGCAAAATCAGGATCTTTTCTACCTATCTTCTTTCGATGCACTTAGTCTGGAGCGTTCATAAAAATGACATTTATCTTTACTGAATAACAGACAACAGGTTGTAGCTGGTATGTCTTTAGTTTCATGGAAGACAATGATGCTGTACTCTAGCAAAGAAATAATGAAATGAGTAATACGCATGATATACGAAGTTATGGGTATCAGTAGCGGAATTTATTCTTTATTTAGCGCATTTTCGGTCTCATTAAGGAATTTTGTCTTCTTAGTTGTTCTTGCTGTTTAGTGAGTAATTTACAAACTAATATTGTTATTGACAACGTCAGTCTTGATATTGTAGAGCACTATGTATATCTTGGACATACCAGTAAAATCGACAAAGAAAACCAAATAGGCGAAATTGTCTTGGGTATCTTTCGACAAGTTAAGCTTTCTATTAAATAATAAAGATGTCCAAAATGTAGAGTTTATGACAAACGTATCTTGCCTGGACTGGAGACCATGGCCTTTACAAAAAAACCTTGAAGCAGCTCAATACAACCCAAAGAGCGATATAGGGGGCCATGCTAAGAATTATTTTGGGAGAAAGGATCCGAAATATCTACATTCGGGAAAGAACAAAGATAACTGAAGTCGCAGAACGTATAGCAAGGCTCAAGTGGCAGTGGGTCGGACATATTGCCCGAGATAATCCCGAAAAATGTACACAGAGATTAACAAACTGGAGACCAAGAGAGAGCAATCTAGGAGTAGGCAAACCACAGAAGAGGTGAAGATCACCATCAGAATCCGCATTTGCTCCTCTTCTGGTGCGAACGTTTATTATATTGCATTCGTTACAATATAATGATCTATCATATTTACTGTAAGTTCTTCTCGAATATTTCTTCGAACGAAGAAAATTCTAGCATCTATTAAAAAAAAAACTTCCATAAAAAAGAAGTCACTTTTGAAATCAGAGTATCAAAAATATTTAAAATTCGATATTTCTCAAACGCCAAATTGTTTTATTTTGTTGAGCTGTGTTATCATTTCTATTCCATACCGTGCAAGTTTAATGTTTATTTTGTATTTTTTATTGACGCTTATAAAATGATTCATAATATAAATATAAATGGATATCCATATTGTTCGAAAAAACCCATATTATTTCTAAGAGCCCCTTCTTTTATTCCAGGAAAATCCGCGAATCTCTAGAGATCCGAAAAAATCCCCATAATATCAATCGAGAGGAAGGATACTACTTGTCTCCCATCTGGAATCTCAGTCTAGAGCCGCCGTCCGGTACCGCTACCACGATGCAGCCACATGATTGGCCAGCGCGCGCTTCATGACGTTCGCGCCACGAAGTGTGCCGATACGTCCCGACACGACAGGTCACCGCGACTATAAATAGAGCGGTAGCGAAGTAATCGTCGGATTCACTCCCCGCCTCTCGACGCGTTAGTGTTCTGAGCTGTTGGACGTGAATCCCTGTCCTGGCATTTGGTTTTCACCTCTGGCTGCGTTGAGTAGTTGAGTTACTGTGACCAAATGCCCATCTTGGTAGTTAGTATTCGCCTCTGGTTGCGTTGAGTAACTGAGTTACCGTTGCTAACTACCCATCTTCCTGTCTTCTGTTTTCTTTTTCTTTGTTCTCCTGAAGAAGCTACATACAATTGTAGCGAAACGTCGAGATGAACCCACTTTTGGGTCACTCACAAATGACACGGTCCAAACCTGGAAGACGAATAAACTATAATTCTGACTCTGGCCGTGAAAGCCTACGATTTCAATATAATTCATGTCATGCACGACTTCTTCTGTCAAATAAACACGTTTTGGCATGTTTTTAAAAGACATTATGTACAAACCTACAAACCAAAAAAGTATCTGCAGTTGCTAGTACTCTTTCTAGTCTTGACAGACTAAATAATTGAATATTTTATGATTTGAATATTGATCTAGCTTATAAAACTTATTTTATAAGCTAGATCTTATGTACTGTTACAATGTAGAGTGACCAGCAAGGAAACATATTTTCTTACGCGCTGCCAATGATCGAATTCAGAATTTCCGAGAATGCATGATAGACACGTGATTTCGGTTACTTTTGACCACTTACGACGCGTGATTTGTGGTTTATAGTTTTACTTAATATTTGTCAGACTATAGATAAAAAGGATGTGTTCTATATCGCCAGTTATTAATGGAACACGAGTAAAGAACCATGTACTCAACTGTAATATGAGCGTCCCAGACAAAATGGCGGATAAATAAATCTTACAGAGTTCTTACCTAATTTGGTTTAGCTTTTTTCAAAGTACAATATAAAAAATATTATGGTGGTTTGCTAGTTTTTTAATTAAAGAATCCAATCCACTTTTATTTAGGAAATTTGGCAACGCCACAACTATAACCATATATTCCCTAAACACATTTTAACCAAAATACACATTAATACCACTAACTCTCAATTACCACATTGCAGCAAATCCCATATTTTCAAACGGTCCACCGCACCCACTACGCCCTCAACCCCTAGCCAGTGGGTGTTTAATCTCACCGGCGACACTTTCGACATCGGAGACGATCACGAACCGGATCAAGAGGATTACGACGACGACGAGGATATCGAGTTATCCACAGAGAGCATTCCAGAGGTACAAGAAATGACTATGGTGGAGAAGAACTCATCCGCCTACGGGGAGCAGTCGATTGAAGAATTGTTTTCCTCTCCGATACCGGGAGGTGTGTGGCATCCGATTGTGGACGATGAAGAGGCGAATGGGTATTTTTTTGATACTGCATGGTCACCTAATCTAATAGAAGGTTAGTGTATCGTTTGTCTCTAGCTTTAAGAAAGAAATAATAATATTTATGTTTTGACATTTTATTTTTTAATCCGTCAAACTCTTTCAAAAAATAAAATCATAAAGGTTAAGATAATTTATAAAATATTGATTTGGACAGACTTATTTTGGCTTGATTTAATCACAAAACTACTTATTTAGCCCAGTTTACAAAAATATACAACATGGATCCGCCCATTGTACTATACTAATAATTCAATTAGCAGGTTTAAAGAAGGTGGCATTTTTTACCGACTAATTAGATTGACTAGGACTGCCTACACTACATAATGATTCGTCGGCCAACTAGAAATGCTGAGTGTTATGATTCAACACCCATTAGTGGTGATAAGAAGGATTTTAAGGTTGACCGTTTTTTTTGTGGTAGTTTTATTGTAAGTTAAAATGAAGGCACTCCCGCTTTGAATAGCCTGGTTTTAGTCGAAAATAACGAAAGCGTCTACATCAATCTTTATTTTAAAAATGCAATTTTAATTGAATACATATCTACTATAAACTTTTTACCTTTTTTAAATCTTTTTTGATTCCATTAGGTTTATTTATAAGTGAATAATGTTTATTAATTATTTTTTAATGGAATATCAAACTTTGTAACTAAAAGTCTGTACGTCTTCCAGGTTTCCTCACTGGTTTATGTACTCAGCAATTAAAACAGCGAAATATAAGTATACAGGGTGAGTCATGAGGAACTTTACATAATTTTACCATATGTAGAGTCCCTCAGGGAGCATATCATGTGGCCACTAAAAAATGTCAACTCCTCTTCTTTATTAATTAACAGGATGATTTGTGTAATTGACCATTTATTTCATTTTACTGTAGTGTTTATACGGCTCATTTGATTTTTTTAATTTTTGCATGATACAGTACACTACTATCAAGCATTCGACTGGTATTAGCTAAACTAAAAAATTCCAGTACTGGCTTTGGAAAAATTAATTTAGGGATTCGTATTAAATATTACACCCTGTATATATATTTTTTTAAAATGCAATAAGTGATTTTCAAACTACATAAATAGCCAATGAAAACGACATATGCGACAATGTTGTCGCACTTTTATTAAATTTTTAGTGAACGATCAAATCTTACCAAAAATAAAACAACCATAATGAAGTATCAAATTATAAGGTAATTAATTTAAACAAATGTTATAAATTTCAAACATTTTAATTGAAATGATAAACTGAGTCACTGCACAACAAAAAACAGTAATTTAAAAAAAAACTAAAAATATGTACATAATTATGATAAACCCATAAATTAGAACTGGAAAAGATACAATAATGGTAACAAAATAAAAATAATTCAAAATAGATTTTCGAAATGGAACCCTGCAGCCTGTACACATTTTTGTTGCCGAATTGTTAATTGACGTATTGAATTACGGATACTCTATGGATCGTTTCTAATAGTATTACAACAATGTATAATTCTATCAATTAATTGTTGTCGGTTATTAATATTAACTGCGTAAACTAGTTGCTTCAATCGTCCCCAAATATGGTAATCAACGGGATTGAAATCAGGAGATCTTGAAGGCCACGAAATAGGACCTGCACGTCCTATCCACCTGTTGCCATAAACATTATTGAGATGTTGTCTCACTGTCAGTAAAAAGTGTGGGGTGCACCATCATGCTGAAAATACATGCCTTGGATAGCAACGTTCGCGTTGGCAAGCAAATTCGGCAAAATATTTTGTAGAAAGTTCAAATAGACCTGCCCTGTTAAAGGACCATCAAAAAAGTGAGGAGCTAATAATTGATTATTTATGACACCAATCCACACGTTAACCGAAAACCTTAACTGAGAACGACGTTCTCGAATAGCATGGGGATTTTCTTCTGCTCACACATTTGAATTTCGTGAATTATTTATCCCGTCTCTGGTAAATTGGGCTTCATCTGTAAATAGTGTCCTGTATAGCGTTGGTCGATTATTGTTAATCCATCTACAAAATTCCAACCTATCGATCTCATCTCCAGCATGTAGTCGCTGAACCATTTGAATGTGATATGGGTATAGATTATTTTTTTGTAAGACTCTACTTACTTTTTATTGAGTAACATTGAGTTCTCGACTTACTTGTCTAGTGATTATTGTAGGGTTCATAGTAACGGCGTCCATAATGTCATCTTCCTGCGCTTCATCTACATGTCGCTCTGTTGTTCCACTAGGAAAAGAGCCATTTTCTCGCAAATAATTAAAAACTGACCCAAATGTTGGATGACTGGGAGTTCGACGATTAGGAAATCTCCTGCGATATTCTCTACTAGCAGCCCTACCATTCCCATTACAGAATCCATAAACAAATATTATATCTGCATATTCTGTGGTCGAAAACTGATGGGCATTTTGAACGAAAGTAACAAAAGCTCTACCAAAACTAACACAATGTACTTAACGTACATATGACAGAAGAAATATGTATTCTTGTACACATAAATAACAATTGATAATGACAATAATGAGAATGGGTATAAAATATCAAGAAACGTCAAACGGTCAACGCCAACCTACATTTTAAACTTTTTTAGATTTATTTTTATTTAGTACAGTTGATGCAATGTATTATTATTCGACATAAAATTTTAATCATTTACAATCAACAAAAACTAACACATACAAGAGTTTTGACTTTTTAATCAATTTAATTTATTATTTATCGAAAATAATGCCCCAATACGATCTATGAGTAAAAATTTAAAATTGAAAAACAATTGATTCTATCGTAGAGATAATACAAAGTGACAGTAAAGATGTTAATTTTCTACGTATTAGATTATGTTGTAGGAACTCATTTTAATTAAAATGTTTGAAATTTATAACATTTGTTTAAATTAATACCTTATAATTTGATACTTCATTATGGTTGTTCTATTTTTGGTAAGATTTGATCGTTCACTAAAAATTTATTAAAAGTGCGACAACATTGTCGTATATGTCGTTTTCATTGGCTATTTATGTAGTTTGAAAATCACTTATTGCATTTTAAAATAAATATATACAGGGTGTAATATTTACTACGAATCCCTAAATTAATTTTTTCAAAGCCAGTCCTGGATTTTTTTAGTTTAGCTAATACCAGTCGAATGTTTGATAGTAGTGTACTGTATCATGCAAAAATTAAAAAATCAAATGAGCCGTATAAACACTACAGTAAAATGAAATAAATGGTCAATTACACAAATCACCCCGTTAATTAATAAAGACATTTTTTAGTTTCCACATGATATGCTCCCTGAGGGACTCTACATATAGTAGAAGTATGTAAAGTTCCTCATGACTCACCCTGTATATATATAAATTTTATTTGCTTACAAATTTATCCATGAGAGAATCCTAACTGTGTTCACTATCTTCAGCTCCACTATTTGAAATAACTATCAACTGCTGTGCCTTCGATAGGACCATTTACGGTACTATTAATTAAAAAAAAAAACTTATAAGAAAATTGATGGTTGTGCTCGTTGAAACAATCTCGATAAAAAAGTTTAAAAATAAAATTTTATATGTTCCTATAAAACCCGTTGTGTAGGCGATAAATTCCAGTGTGACTTTTCGGTCCTTACTCACCATTTGCCTTCCAGACGCTATAAATACAGGCGTGCGTGTGCCTAACTTCCACCATAAATTATTCCATCGATATAATATCCTTAATAATTTCTCCCGAATCTAGAGAATACGAAATGCAAGAATAGCAAAAACTGGCGGCGGCGGAGGTTTAAATCTCCTTTCTGTATAATTTGTCGATATTTTGTTGGAATTGTTTAGTTGAATATTTATTACCCGCCTTGGGCACTCCTGGGGGCGCAGAAATAAAAATCGAAACATCACGATATTGTTTCAATTTCGAACAAAGCCCCAGACGGATAAATTGGAACACGCAGACGAATCATTTCCGAGCAGTGGTGGTTATAGCTAAAATATTTATGTCCAATTTTTATAATGCAACACAGATTTTGGGCTCTTTTCTTGACTTTTATACGATTCTCAAACTGTACACTTTTACAGGGTGATCAACTTTTGTGGGAAAGTCCTTTATATATAAACAAAAGAGAAATCATACCATTTCTACCTAGCTAAATCGAATCTTAAATAATATAAAGGAGTGAAAGAAAATGACATATGGCGCAGAAGATATAATTTTGAACCATACATATTTTTTGAAAAGGATACAATAAGTAGAGCGGAGGTAAGGCTAGAAGAAATCATTGTGTGTGAACCATCATTATTTATAAGTAAAGAACAGAGTTGTAGATATTTTTCTAAAATAATAGCGACATTTCTTTCGTCTGCTTTGACTAGGATTACATTTGAGGAATTGCTTTAAGCTTTTAAAAAAGATATAAGATAATTTAATTAGTAATGATGTTAGTAGATCTTGCACGAACTACGTTTTGTTCTAATTCAAATGGTAATGAACTAATGCTGTGTTGTAAATTAGGATGAAGATATTTATTTGGAAGATTTTTTCTGAATTTAGGTTCAATACTAGACTTATTTGATAGACCCGAAGAACCGGAGACTTTAGTTGAAGGTGAAGAATCAGAAATACTAAAATCAGAAATACTGCATGCTATAAGATTAGCAAAGAACAAGAAAGCCGCTGGCCCTGATAACATACCGACAGAGATGTTAAAGCTTCTAAATGAGGAGAATATTGGAATACTGGTCAAACTTTTCAATGATGTTTATTCGACTGGTGATATCCCTGAAGATTGGTTAAAGTCCGAATTCATAACGCTACCAAAAAACAACGTCCGAAAAACTGAAGCGATTATAGAATGATAAGCTTTATGAGCCACATTTTGAAAATATTTCTACGCATCATCCACAGTAGAATCAGAGATAAATGTGATGAAGATCAGGATGAAACACAATTTGGCTTCAGAAATGGACTGAGAACTCGGGACGCCCTCTTTGCACTAAATGTATTACTGCAGAAATGTCGAGA